GCCTCCAACGTGGTGGTCGTCGCACGACGGCGCTCTCTTCGTTGACGGGGAGCCGCTGCTCCTCAAGGGCGTCAACTGGTACGGCTTCCAGACCGACCAAGGAGTCGTCCACGGGCTGTACGCTCAGCCACCGTCGGTCTTCTACAAGATCCTTGAGGACAACTCGTTCAACGCAGTGCGCATCCCCGTGGACCTCGACCTCATCCTGTACGACAGGAAGCACGGCTTCATCAAGCCCGAGCCGGATGAGGTAGAGGAGCGGGCGGCCGAAACCAATGCGTGTCTTGCCTTTGCGCCCGGCCCTGCGGCGGAAGACGACACGCTGCGAGCGGCGGCGCTGAACGCGTCGTCGTGCGGCGGCCCCTCGCCTCTGATGCAGAATACGTCGCTGCAAGTGCTCGAGATCATGGTGGACGAGTTCGCCAAGCGCGGCATCCTCGTGCTGCTGGACCTGCACTGCCTCTCCACCAAAGGCACCAACGCCTCGCCCGTCTTCTTCGACTCGAGCCACACCGTCGCCCAGGCGCTCCAGGGCTGGGGGAAGCTCGCGCGGAGTTTCGGCGCGAAGAAGAACGTGCTCGGCGCGGACGTCTTCAACGAGCCCTTGGCCCCAAGAGCTAAAGGTCAACATCCCCTCCGGCTATACGACAATGCGAACCTGGATCTGGTCCTCACGGGGTTGACCCGTCTCCTCCAGATCGAGACGGACTTCATGAACGGCCGAGCAATATTTCTTCACTACTATTATTAATTGATGCTTTTTGCACGGCTGAGCCCCCCCCCCCCCCCCTTCCCCTGGGCTCATTCCCTGGCCTCTCCCACCAAACACTCCGTAAGAGCCCCGCTCCCCTCTTGAACAGGAATTTTGACAATTAACCAGATGGATCAATGACAATCGATGGGCTTGCCCATCCCGGAGTGGTTCGATCCCACATCAATCCGAGACGGTGATGGGAGGGTCGTGTGGTGGTCTCAGGCCCAGTGACAGGTAGTGCATCTGACTATCCCGGATCCTGCTGAACAAGCTCCTCTTGTAGCTCGATCGGTCACACCGCCATCGCCGTCGGGGAGAGGGGGGACGACACTGCTTTGGCAGCGTGCACCTCGATCCTGTACCGTGTTTGTTATGACCCCCCCCAATGAACCCACCAATGAGGGAGGGCGAAACCATCGAGGGGTCCCGTACCATGGATGCGGAAACCACCCCATTCAGTGGTCAAGGGCTCAAGGTAAACCCCTGGGAAGAGAGAGACCCCCCCTGCAGTTGGGAATCCACCGGGGACCGCGGCTGCGAAGCTGGGGGTCCCTTGGCAAGGGAGGGTTAAGAGAAGTAAAGGGTAAAGGCTGGGAAGGCTTAAGAATGGTAAGCCCCCCGGAACG